TAATGAAATCCTATCAAAGGTTAGTTCATATGATTAATTGGGTTTGGAATGCTCTGTAATTCATCTTTTATGAATTCAATATGATAATCAATTGCTATTTAAGATATCAAGCACAATCTTAATTTAATATCTAAGATTTCATTAAGAATGCTCCTTGACTAAATATGTTATAATCTTATTATGAATTCATTGAGTTATGACTCAATTTTATCTAAGTCAACTCATTAATTTCCCTTTTGATCATAATCAAAAGAAAAATAATCTCACAATGATCTTATCATTATGACTTAGTATTGACTATCATATAGGCAAGGTTATCCTTTAAGGATAAATAATTTAGAACAATTCCAAAATGAGATGCAATGTGAATATATAAATATATATAAGCTAAGCATCTCATGCTAGCAAATTATAAATCTATGTTTCTTAAACATAAAATAAAATATTTAGCCATAGGCGCAAAACATCTCATCTTGACAATCATGTCATGAAAACATTCAATGTTTTAAAATTATTTATTCTTCCACAATCTAATCTAGATCGACAAGATTGATCACCATCAATTAAGGTTGTCGCCTTCATGATCTATAACCTAACCCAACTGCTCAACTCGAGTGATATATCCTATCATCATAAGCACATGAGGCCTTACTGGGCTTCCCTCAAACATCTTACATCGAAACAATTCCCTTGAAATGTCGAATCTCTCTGTGCAACTTTCTTTATCAAACATTTCTCTAAGGTTTAGGATAATATCCAGGGCATTCATAGCTTCATGTTGCTTTTGAAGATCTGGAGCCATACTAGCTAACATCACATATGTGGCTTGATCGAGATCATCCATATAAGCTCTATAGGCCTCATTTTCCTCATTTGTAGCATTATTGTTGGGTTCCTCGGGAAAAGGACCATCTAGGACATAAGCCTTTTTCTCTTGTTTCAAGACAATCTTCATATTACAAAGCCAGTTAATGAAATTTGAGCTTGTTAACTTGTCTGCATCAAGTATGCTTCTAAGTGAAAAACTATTTGCCATGATAGATTTATATCCTATATAAATCAACATAAGTGATTATCAGTCATTAATGCAAATTATATAATCGTAAAGACAAGGTTTTAAAATCTTATATGATTATTCTCAATATTTTATCAAAATAAAAACCCTCATATACTATTTCGAGAAATCTAACCTTTAAAACTTTTTATTGAGTTAGGACCCTTTTCATCCCACCATGACCTTAAGTGACTCAACAAGCCATAATGAAACTAATTAGGTAGGTAACTTAGCTTACCAATTGTATCTTATACAACTCTTAGATCAGTTAGGTGACAACTCCTTTTTAAAGGTAAGATTTTAGTTGTGCAAGCAAGTTTTGTTTCTAAAACAAAAAAACAAAATTCTTGCTGATTTTTATTTTTGTAAGACAAAGAAAATTATTTTTTCTTTTCTTATTTTATGAAATAGCTGAAAAGTGGTTGGAGGCTTCAAGTTTTTAGTTTGCTAATATAACATATTTATATAGCCAAACTAATTTATAACCCTAAATACAATAATTGTATTTTAATTTAATTAAGTCTTTGAGAACTTAATTGATTTTCCACTTTATTTTGGTCTCTTTTAAATAAGTCCAACTTAATTAATTATCCTTATTTAATCCCAATCATCTCACTTAATGTGTGTGAGCCATTAGGCTTCTAACATGTTGGTAATAAATATAAATTATAATCAAATATCAATTTGATAATTAATTTATATTTATAGATCATGAGCGGCATCTAGCAATACATCATGACCACCCAAATGTTAGAGAGTCAATTAAAAAATTTGACAAAGCCTTTTAGTGGTAAGCCTCTCAGTGCAGTACGGTTCTTTCATCAAATATCATGGATATGTCATTAAGCATGGCTCGGTGTCTACTTATGAAATTCCATATTAGTTCTCATAATTCATGACTAACTTTATGAATTTAGGAAACTAACTTTCCTCAAATTCATCATGCTTTGGCTAAAGACTTTATACAAGTTAATCAAGAATTGAGAACAAGTGAGATACATCCACTCATATCACTTGGGGTGATGAATCCTTTCTTGACCACTCATTCACCTTCGCATGCTTCATGGCATACCAAAAAGCACCCTGTTTAGGCATTTGGTTGCTTCCAAACCCGTAGGGGTAAAATCAAAGCATGTGATTCGCCATACAAGATGATCTGGTGTCTCAAGTCTAAGGACTAGTTGCATGACTATGACATGAGATCATTTTCCATAGACACTTGAGTGAAATACCAAATGGAGTTCTCATAGTGGGTCATGTTCAGTGAACTTGTTCTTTAACAAGCACCTACATGTTATCCTTAAGTATCCCATATATTTCAATCTATGAGATCGATTGCTTACTTCCCAAGTAAGGAGGCTTAACATGTATCAGTCTTTAAGCATTGTCAATGCCCTGTCTTGACAATACAATGATCAAGAACAATTTTAGGAACATGGCTTTGATGCATAGTGATCTCATAATTATAACAACTTTATAATTCTCTTGTAAGGCCTTAATGTTCCATGGGCTTCATCCAATTAATACTTAATAACTCCTTATTATTGCACTAACATAAAGGAAAACCTCTATCAAATAAAATTATGTGATTAAATATGCATTAAATGACAAAACATATTCTTTGACCAATCTAATTGGCTCAAGAGCATATACCAACAAATATGTAGCCAAAATCACCCTAAGCACATAATCATTAGAGGACCTATTGTGAGCTTTATTTTTTTCATTTCTCTTAATCATATTTGTTCTCTTATCTTCACCTTTTTTCCTTCATTAAGCACTTTATTCTATTTTTTTCATCCTTTTCCTCTATTTCCTTTTTTCGTCTTCATTCACTATTTAACACCCCTAAACTTTTTTCCTTTTATTTAGGTAGTAGGGTGAGCAAAAATGTTCGGCATTTTTCTCAACAACTTCACCTTTTCTACCTATTTTCTTCATTACTTAGCTCAATTACTCTCCCTAAAATGATCTATGTATATAGAAGTGATAGGTGTTAAAGTGAAAGTTCTTCAAAGGCTAAGGTTAATTTGCTATGTGTTTAATAGAGAAAACGAAAAAAATAAGCTAAAAAAGGGGTGACTAAGGACAATAGTATAGCAAGGAAGGCTCGAAAAGCTCAAATGATCTAAAGATTGCCTAAGTCATTTCCCTAACTAAGTGTAGCCTAGGATTTTGCCTCAAGAGAAACTCAAACAAATTCTAGAACTCAAGACTTTATTCAAAAATTACACTCACATAAACTTTATCTAAATCCACACAATCATTCAAAGTAGGAAACAAGTGCTTAAATTGTGGGAAAATCACATTCTATAACAATACTTAGTAAATGAATTCAACATAATGCTCAAACAATATTTACATTCACTAAGAGCACAAGATAACAAGATAACAAGATACCTATTTTTCTTCATTGGATAAGTGAACAAAGAAAAATGGTGCAACTAATTGTAGCTAATATTTTTTTTTCACAAAAACATGTAGCAACTTGAAAACTAACAATCTAACTAAACATCAACATTCAAAAACACTAAAACTCAAGAAATAAAAAAGCAAAGTTTAAACATAAACTTTCCCCCCTAAACTTAAAGCTAACATTGTCCCCAGTGTTATAAAAAGTAAGAAAAGAATACTCCCCTATTTTAGTATTCCTCCTCTTCCTCATCATCATCAACAATTATGGGATATTCTAGTAAGGATGAAAAAGTGGCCATGTCCATCCCTATATGTAGCACACAAGCTCGCAACATTTGCTCCATCACCTTTGCACACTCTACTTGGTGCACCACTTTGCATTCAAGATGCTCCATTCTTTGTGGTATACTGAGGTTTGTAGTGCATGGTGTAGGTTGTGGTGTAGAAGATGAATTCGCATCAGCTGCAGAGAGCTCGTGAGTGAAGAATCGATGAATGATGCTAGCATTTAAAAGAGTTCTCGGATGCAAAAGTTCTTCATTTTTTTCCATTGAACTCTTGCTTGCTTGCATAATGTGGTGATGAGCGATGGGTACCTATGGCCATCTTTAACTAAAAGAGTAGTGTGAACAATATTATTAAAAATCAATTGACCAATATTAATGGACTTACCTTAAATAATGTCATAGAGCAACACTACTCTATCCTTGGTGACATCACTAACATGCTTAATCGGGACCATTTTGGCTACAATAAAGTGATACTAAACCTTGTAATAATTTTTCATCCAATTAGACTTAAATGACACTAAACCCCCTTGGATGTTTTCCATTCTGTGCTTACGTTACAAAGTAGATTAATGACTTCATCGAGGTACACATTTCCATTTAAATATTGACCATACTCATCTTTCTCAATCTTCAACGTGTTGCAAATCAATTGATGGTTTGGCTATTAAAAGACACTTTTTTTCGTGTACAAAGAGTGACACCATTGTTATGCTCGAAGGCATTCAAATAAAATTCATGCACTAATGGTATAACACTGTTATTGTGCACCTTAAGTTGAGCACAAAAGTTTTCCCACTTTCTTTTTTCAATGATATTCAAAACATGCCTATAATGAATGATGGGCACAGTGACGCCTCTTTTCGACATTGGAGACTTGAATTAATGATTAAGTATAGAGCGCAAATGCCTTAGCTAATACAAATTTTGTTGAATCAAACCCACTACTGCTATTATCTCTAGCTCTTTATGGTGCCATAACAATTCAAACTCAAAATTCAACTTTAAACCACAAATTTTAATTGCATAAAAAAAATGTCAACAATTATTTCAATTATCTCCACAAACTACTTCAACAATTTGAATACCACCAAAGATCACCAAATCAACAAAACCCAAAATAAAATCCTTCAATTGAGCATTATTCACTATTATGAACTATCAAATTCTCAAAATCCACCACAACAATACTCAAAACTTCAAGTACAATTAGCAGAATACCAAAAATTTTGAAGACCTATAATTAATTATCAGCAAAACTCTTCCAACATAATCAATTCTCTCGAAAACAATAATTCTTGAAAGAGTTCGCACTTACTAGAAACAAAATCTGCACTTTGATGGAAGAAAGTTGCTAAAACTCTTTGAATCCTGTGTTTTTGTAAAAGAAACTCGAGTTTTTTGGAAGTTTTTCTGAGTGGGTTTGAAAGATATTTGGTTTTGTGTTGTCGATTTTGAAAATGCAAGTATACGTACCAAGCAAGTAATATAGTGATAAAGTAGAGTATTATTCCCATAGAGATTTGTTCTTAAATCTTTACTATGCACTAAAATTTATGACAAATTAATCTTATTTAAGTAATCCAGAAATTGAAGAAAAACTAATTAAAAATAATTAAAAATCAACACTAAATAAACTAACAAACTAAATATGTTGAGAAAAATAGTATATTAAAGACCTAGGACTTTGGGTTCATTCAACATTTCATCTGATACCAGCTTTTCTAGTTATTTATCTTTCCTAGGTGGTCTTACTAACCTAGAATCCAGCACTATGAACAAGTCTCTCTCAAGTTGCTTGCATAAATACCTAACTTAATTAGTTCATTATATGTCTATAGGAATCAATTAAGTTCAGTAAGTAAGTGTCTTAATGTGGCTATGTATGGCAATTGGTGTATGTCTACTTAGATTGTGAATTAGATCACTTAAGTGACGTGAACATACACTATTCAACACTTAATCCAATCTAAAATCTCTCTGTCATGTCTCAATTAGATACACAAATCAATTAATTGTTGGCTAGACAATCAAAAGCATTAAAAGCATATTTGAATAAGCAAAACTACACCCATTCATGATAAATAAAAGAGAAATTAATATTCAAACTACATGTTGAAATCCATCGCAATCTTGGAAAGATAATTTAGCTCATAACAACCAATAAAAACAACATCCAAAGAAATTTAGCCATGAATCCAAGTCAAAGATAATAAGAAAAACACAAAAATAGAGAAATAAACTAATTATTGAAGCTTTGTAATCTCAATTCTCTCTCAA